TAACTAATAATCACTTTTTGCAGTCATCAGTTTTTAAGGAGCCTGATATAGATATTATAGAAGAAGATGACAGTACTTGAAGATCTACAACATGAAATGTTGCATTATGTGATGTTTGCGCGCTATCTTGTAATTTTCAAATTAAATCTTGTATGGGTATTGTAATCATATAACATGATAAAGTACTTTGGATCTAATATTTATTTCATTTTTAATGGTTTTATATTTATTGTATCATGAAAATGTCATAATCAAATACCTATATTAAAAGTTGAATTTTAAAAAAAGGGGAGGGAGGGGGGGGGGATGGAATAACCCGCCTTAAACGGGTAACGGGGCGGGGACGGGTTGGGTCGGGGAATTGCTTAGCGGGCCACCAAGCCCCCTGTTGCCATCCCTAGATATACTTCTATAAGGATTTTACTATTTCTTGTTTCTCAATTTAATTTTGAATTGAAACAATTAGATGTGAAGCCTTTCTTTTTAAATGGAAAATTGGATGAAAAGATTTGTATGACACAAACTAAAGGATTTGAACTAAAATAAAAAGTAGTTGTGCAATTTAAATAATTTTTAAATAATTTTTTTAATGATTTGAAACAAGCACCTAGACAATTGTATAAATATTTAATGCAATTTATTAAAGAGCTTAATTTCAATAAAAGTAAGTACGATCCATGTTACTACCTTAAGGTAATGGAGGTTCAAATTCCTTTTTATCTTGTTTTGTATGTTGATAATACGTTGTTAGTTGAAATTGATGTTATAAAATAGTTATTAAAACATGAATTTGAAATGGGAGTTATGACCAGCAAGAAGAATATTATGGATGGAAATTAAAAGAGTAGAATAGGGAAGAAACTCTTTTTAATTTGAAATTCAGTTGTAGAAAACTGTAGCTCTGTTTTCTGCAGAAACTGAATATATTGCAGCTAGAGATACTATGAATTGAAGGTATTTGATTAAAATGTCTTTTAATTGATATTAATTAAAATTTTCTGTTGTATGAATTTGGTTTTGTTAACAATAATGTTGTGTTACATTCTGACGTGCAATTTGCAACAAAATTAAGTAGAAATCTAGTTTTTCTTGATAGGATGAAACACGCTGATGTTGAATTTCATTTTATTATATATGTGTTAGAAAAAGAAATCATGAAGATTGTGAAAGTATCTACTAAGTGTAATCTAGCAAATATGGGAATCAAAATACTACCTTCGCATAAATTTAGAGATTATTTAAATCTTTTAAGTATTAGTACCGGCTAATGTTTTGCAGGTACAAGTATGATCAGAAAGTTTCAAGCAACGTGGAAATTGTTGGGCTAAAAACGAATTTGGGCCTTTGGATTCAATAAAACCAGACTTGGTCCAATGATACAAAAGATTGGCTTGCCCCAGTTGCATCTATACTAGAAACCTCATGTTTTAAAAATGTGATTTCAGTTAAAATGTGGTGAAATGTTGAGATGGTGACAAATGGTCGATTGGTGGTCGTTGATGTTAGGTTATTGACTTATTTCATTTAAATAATAGATATCACTCATTTGAAGTTTTGTTATTTGGTCATTTTAAAACCAACATTGGACATTGTCTAATTTATAACCACCACATCATAATTAAGATAAAGTCGAACACCAACCGCCCTTCTCAATCCTACCCCCAAAGTTAAAACCTCTAATTTGTAGGAAATAATTATTAATTATAAAACTGATTACAACACACCTATCATGGTTTGCCACATTAGCATAGACTAAGTACCATTGCTTAGGAAATCAATTCCGTGTGTGTGTGTATATATATATATATATGCATGCACAAGAAACATAAATTTTGCTGAGCTAATGTCTACCTAAACTTCTAAAACAAGAAACTGCTCTACATAATGTTTTTTTCTCCTCTTTGCCACGTTAACTTGGAAAAGTCACTATCAACTCGTATTGAAGTGATCATTTTTGAACTTTGTTCATTATGCTTGTGTAGAAATTAATTAATTAATTTTTGGGGCGATCTACTAAAGCACTGGAGATGCTCTGATAGCTTAAGATAGGTGCGATTCAGGAACGCATTGTCCAAGTAACACCACAGCAAATGAGACATCAAAGTTTTATGTCTCGTCGCGATCGAACAATTTGTAATAGAACCACAACTCAACATGATTCATACAGGCATCTTTACCTGCACTGGTAATCCCGAACTAGATTAAGACTTTCACAGCAATTCAGCATAAACTTCAACAACTCAGGATCGAACATTTTGTTATAATTTTGTTATAACATACAATGCAAAACGATGCAATCCGACATCAACCATTGGAAGTTACAAGTCCATTGTACAAGGTTGAAGTTAAAACAGAAAATATGATGAACCAAGAACAGATGCATGATTTTTACCCAGGTTCCCCCCTCGAAGGCACTCCAGATTCATCACTTGGGAATGATCCACGTGAAGATTTACCTGTAAGCACGTACAGAATACGTTTAAATATCTCCAGCTGAATAAAGTTGGCAAGAATGAAATGAGAAAAGTACCTTTGGCCCATATTGTTTAATGAACCACTCGGACGTTTTAGGATTTGATGCTTCAAACATTGTTTTCTCAAGACCTAGACGACTAATGACTTTTGCTACAATATCGGCCCTTACAGAATCGGCCTGTCTGCAGATATCATCAGCATCAATCATTATCATGTCTGCCCCAGCTTCAAGGCATCTCTCCGCCTTTCTAATCAAAAGACCGACATCCTCAACAAGATCTAAGGGAAAAGTAAATACTGTTAGCCATACGCGAGATTTTCATAGTTATTTACATGAATTTGTGGCATAGTTCGGCCTAGATTGGATTTAAAAGAGGACACAGAGATGGAGAGCAACAGTAAGATTGTATATTTTGGAAAACAGTATTAGACAATACAATACAGCAATACCACACACAAGTTGAAACCACATGCACCAAGGACTTGCACATAAAGGTGAAATTTGAGGAATAGTTTCCCTTAACCCAGGACACTATAACCGAAAAACAATAATATCAAAACATACAGATCCCTTTGTCCCTAGTCGATCAAAAACTGAGATTAGACCCGTTCTCTATTTTATTCTACCCAACTGAAAGGTCCAGCCTGTACGCCGATATATATTTGGTAGAAGAGATGCTTTCCACAGAAAATTAGCTAAAGGGCTAGCACTAGGAACTAGGAAGGTTAAAACAATTATGCCTATGTTTGACAACCAATATTTTCAAACTCTTTTTCAGCACTCTCATTTTCAACCACAAATTCACACATTAAAATATTCTATACGTAAATCCAAAATTTTGCCTACTTTTTAACCACACGTTCTCCTAAAAATCACTATTTAAAACATTGGTTTTTAGAAATAATGGCACCAAACAGGGGCTATGTAACATGAAAGATCAGTTTAGCGAATGGTTTCGCTATCCAGATTTAAGATTAGTCAAGAATAATTACCTTATTCAATAAAAAGTACCTATAAAGTAACTGATCAAGCATACATGCATTTAAACATTATAGCTCCAGAACATATGCTTTTTTACCTGAGGTTCGAGTCACTGGTACCACATAAGCCCCAAAAGCTCTATCCCTGTTTGGGGGTATATCAGACTTGTTAACCTTTACTGTAAATAGAGGCTTAGCCCTAAGACCTCCACTCTTAATCAACCTCACATATCTCAAGAGTGTTTCTTCTGGGAGTCCTAGTGTACCAACGTCTATCTCAATTGTATCAAAACCCATTTGCTTGCATTCCTACACGAATTTTAAGGTTGATAGTAACTAACTGGAAATTAATGACTATAAGAAAGTGATTCTTAGGCTTGCTATACCTCAATGTACTCTTTAAAAGCAGATGGGCCTTTGCGCAATAGATGCTCAGCCCAGTCGCCTGTACTGACATATACATTGTGTTTGTGTGCCATGTCAGTAACTTCTTTGATGTAGCTTTTTGACATCAAACTATGAGAGCCGCCCGTGAACTTCAAGCCATCAACAAACTGTCCCATAGATTCAAAAACATCCTGCAAACCAAAGTTAACACGGTTAAATGAATTTAGAGTCACATCACTTCCAGCAAACTATTGAAGCATGTGACATGGATTAATAAAATATTCACAAACTCACAATCTAAAGCTTCAATCCTGAAACAAATTATACAGTGGACATTCTCATTACAAAGTTAGTCAAGTTTCCTACTTGATTGAAGAATGAGAACATAAATACAAGGTGCATATCAACCAGAGAACAGATTTTATCTTAAAGGAGAAGTTGATGTGCATGCCCACTTATTCAGGCTCTTCTTCACCAGAGATGAGCTTCCAACTTAATCATACTATAGATTCATCCAAAAATGCATGAAACCAATTAAAAAACTTAAGATGAAATTCGAAGGTGACCAATTTTAAAAGTCACCCACATCAATTTCTTATTAGAAACATTATAAGAACGAGAATTCAAATGCAACTACTTTAATCCACTTCTGTTATCGTTCTGCAACAATTTAAGGTGTGTTCGCGTACGCTCCAAGACTAGGTTGGTTCTATAGCCCTGAGCCTTCTCATTAACAACTGGAATCAAGCCAAGTCGCCGGCCATAACTATGGGAATCACGTGTTATGCCAGAATATCCATCTAAGTATACAACTATAACAGCACGCCACAAGGGACAATACTATAAGCATTGATTAATAGCTTCATCACCCACAATTGAATACTCCAGTTAAAAAAATAACAATAATTCGGCATTCCATGATTATAAGAACAATAATTAAAGTGGCTACCATTAGCATTTGTTACATGAGCTTTAGACATTACAATAAGTTTAACCATCACCTCTAATGAGATTCGTAAATCACATTCTTCTAGTTTCAGAACCACAGCAAACTGTGCTTTTCATTTAGCCTCAGCAGTACAGGGAGAGTATCCTAAGTAATTCGTACCACAATATATTCTTTTTCACGTAATGAGAGCTTCTTATGCAATGAATGTTAGAAGATGTAGCTAATTTTTTATCATTACCAACCTTTTTTTCCACAGTCACATAACCAATTTCTTCTCCATAAAAAAAAGTAACAAATATCATCAATATATTTCCTTATGAAAGATGGAAGCTATTTGATAGACTAAAATGGTCATTGTTCAAAGACAACCTTTTACTTGATAATATTATCAAACAAAGTAATCGTCACATTGATGCAAAAATATAAAAGGAACAGGGCAATACTAAGTCATGTTTATTGCCACATTTTCCTTGGAAAATGTGAGAAAAACGAATTCCACTTTGGCCGTTTAATTGCAATGAGAAAATGGAAACCGAATTTCAGGTACAACCACTGCATTTTCTTTATTTTAATTGAAAACGAATTCCTATGGGTTTTTATTTTCCAACTAACATCGAATAGAAATTTCTTTCCACCCTTGCCTAAACGGACCCTAAGGGTGCGTTTGATTGCAATAGTGGAAAATGGGTGGAAAGAAAATAAATTCCAGAAAAAATGAATTGCCTAGAAATCATTTTATTAGGAATTGTCAATAATGTGTGTTTGATTGGTATAATTTACCAATTGAAAAATGTTGAAAATTTTCTTCTTTTCATGTTTGATTGGCTTTAATTTTACACATTTTTTACTGCAATCTGCCAATCTCCTGCCATTGAGTTCACACCTCCACTATTTCCACCTTCCTCCACCACTGTCAGAATCCTACCTTCCTCCACCACTGTCGCCCTGTCTTCCGGCGTGGATACCAGCAGCACCAAATTTCCCTCCACCAGATTTCCCTTCGCCGCCACCAGCACCATCTTCTTC